AGGGTGGGGAATATTTTTAAGTATTGAATATACTTATGTATTGAAGTATGTACTTAAGTATTGAATATACTTAAGTATGCCTCCTGCGTCAGAGTTTGGGACTATTCGGGTATCCAGTATCCAGTTTCATGGGAGCTCAGAAGCTACGAAAAACGCTGAAAATTCTGAAACCTCGTGAATCGATCGAATGGTAGGCTTCAACCAATTACGTTTTGCTACTCCAGAGTGCATTTTGAGAAATATACATGTTCGCGAGATCGACGCCAGAGGGTGTTCAGCTGGAAATTGACGGATTCACCATGCTTCCGTCAATTTCCGCCTCGGTCCCCGGCGTATCTGCTGTCTACCCTGCAGCATAGAAAGAATGATGAAGTTTCGATGGATGCGAAGAAAGGGATTGACGAAACCTGAAAACTTGGGGAGCAGATATTGAATTGTCATGCCACTCTCAGTTACAATAATTTCCTGACTAAAAAAAAAAAGGAATTCTATCATCTCTTCCTGTAACCTCGACAATGCAACGTTTCGCTGACATTCACGTGACATCTTTTTAAGGTCTTTTCCAGCGTTTTGACGAATCGGAGTGACTAACGGTAGGAATGAGGCGAGCGCTCGGAGTCCATCGGTTTTTCAACATTTTTAATCAATCCCCTACCGATTTGTGCCAAGGAATCCCGACGCGTGAATGCACGCCAGAAATCGTTTCCACTCTCTTCTCGATCGTGTCCTCGTAATTTCATTGGGCAGTTGTCGTCCAGGAAGGCGAAGAAATCACTCGTGAATCTCTTGATGATTAAGAGAATCCTAACAACTATAGCCTAGTAATCGTGAAAAATATCTCAAGGCCTTATACCACGTGGCAGGGGTTCTTAACCTGGGATCCAGGGAGTCCGTGGAGGGTCCATGGAAAAGTAAATGTGTAGTTGAAGGTAGATCCCGGAAAACACCATTTATAATCATAAATCCAGGTGTTCCAAAGTTTCTGATAACAGGGGTTCGGGGTCCATGGGAAATTCTTGAGGATCTGGGGAGTCCGTAGGTGCAAATAGGTTAAGAACCCCTGCCTTTATCGACCTTGCGCGTTGGCTATCGCGCAAAGCGCACAAGGTTATGCCTTTCCGGGGCATGGGCTAGGCCATGGAAGCCCATGATTCCTGACACACGATACACTCTGCATATAGCCGATGAGACATTCGTACATTACTATTACAGTTCGACCGATCGGCTTTGAGGATGAATACCCACGGCAGCACAGACGTTGAACCGTGTGGAATTTGCAAACCTCATCGGCATCCCCTTGCGTTTCGCAACGGAGAATCCCTCGTTCGTCATCCAGGAAGCGGGAGGAGGAGGGAGGGGAGGGTAGTATGGTCCGATGACCGATGCCCAACATCGTCATTGCCAGGCTTTTTCCGCGTCGGAATCATGAGGGCATTCTCGATGACGACGTCCTTTCTCATCCGGCACGACCGAAAAAATGGAGTCGTGCCAGGGCCTCTCCATGTCATACCTCCACCGTAGGAACCGTGTCGTTTAGAATAGCACCCCCTGAATTCCCTAATTTTCCGATCAAACTTCTTAACAGGATATCATTGAAGATGAACGAAACTGATGCCCGTAGAAACCACGTGAAAATCAACACATCCATTTAAACAGCTACTGTTCGAAAAGTATATATTAAATATATTATTTTAGAGTGTGGGCATCAGACTATGATAAGTGACCTCTCATTGAAAGCAATCGAGCGGTTTTTCGGTTACCCCAACGACCGTGATGCAATTTTCGAGAGGAAATTTTCCTTAACCCATCCACAAACTGGTGCCTTTGCGTAGCACATTCGAGATGCGAGGGCAAAACTGAAAGAATAAAATAGGCACTATCAAATTTTGACATCCTCCCTGAAAAGCACAACTGAAAAAAAGCTCCATTGTCCTATTGCTCCCGCTTTGTGATTTTTAAGGTTTAAGTCAAAAGACATCATGTGGACTATGCAGCAGCTGAATTGCCCTAGATATGCTCCCACATCTTGGCCAGTAGGGCTTGCCGAGTGCTGCTTCTCGTATTTTAATATCCATAGGAATGGTACTGGGGTATTTAAGATTTGCAATAGAATCACAGATTGGTGAACAGATTGGCAGCAAATTATGGACAAAACAACGCACGCATGGGAAACTTAAGAATTCCTTTGATATTTTCCAAAAGAAACACGCATTGCACGCATTGAAAACTTGCATTCTTCCCAACCTACTCGAGTAGTAGAGGTTCAGGACAATATCGAAGGCAACAACATTGGCAAGTAAAAAATGCCGAATGTTTCTTCCCGTGATGAAGGAATATATATTTTTTTTTTCGGTTTGGTAAATACAAAACTGTTCACGAACCCTCAGACCTTTCCAAAATATCGGGAAAATGCCCGGCTAAATATTCTTGCCGACTCGTTCGCCTAAATGCAAGAGGCACAGCAATGCGCTTTCCGCGGCAGCAAGTAGGAAGTGAAAGATGGTGCTTCCTGCAGCTGATGGGCATCGGGTCCCTAGTGGCGGATTCCACTACTCCCATTCCCATTGGGGAGTGGTAAAGGCCCACTAATAGGGACGGAGCAACGACACGAGACTCGATAATATCGAAGGCATTTCTATATCAAATGCAAATACTGCAGAGGGAAAAAAGGAGGATCGATTGTTTTCCACGATGTCGCCGTTGGAATCAAAAGCCAGTTCTTCTGGCGGATGTTGAAGCCCGTCGGGCGAAATCTACAATTAAGCAGTTCGGCAGCCGCGTATTTTGATGTGGAGAATGCGTCAGCAGACCACCGATCCTTCTGCCCTCCTCCGTAACCTGCAGGATTCGAACATTGCCAAATCAGCAGGCACTCATCACCTCAAATCAAGGTACATCAACGTATAACGAAAGAAATGCAGCGCGAAGTTGAAGGTTCGACGTCGAGGGACGTCCAGAGGCAATTCTCCCCATCAGCACGTCCCGTCTCGAGTTCGAGAATTCCCTTACCTCAAACAGGCTCGAGCAATTGCCCTATTGCATGGTCCACCCGATGTCTCTCGACTCCCCTTTTCATTACTTCAAGGCTCCTAGCTTTCCGTTGAAGGTAGTCGCTGCGCGTGGCAACCGTTCTCTACTTTACCAGTGAAGTCATTCTCACGTTACTTGTGCTGTTCCTGAGCATTCCGTACAAACTTTTCAGAGATGAGCTAACAGACTCAAAGTGGCCAACACCCATCGAAGAAGTCTCTTCCTGCCAACCCCTCAGACTCGAAGAGAGTCCGCGGATGCCGCCCGCCGCATCGCATACTCTCGCTGGCGGCACGACTCCCCGGAGTGGCGTCGCGATGCGACCTGCGATGTTTTAACTGCGAGCATGGAACCTAATGGCTCATGAATGTGAGGTCGACTAGCTGCCGAAGCGAAAAGCACTTCTGGATCGGAAACGTTGAGGCTGCTGGATTCCGATCCGTAAGGGGTGTCGACTGTCATCATCGACCACTTTCTGAAAGACTCGGGGAAAGGTCTCCCTATGAAGAACGAAATCCGGCGACCCTCGCTAAAACTCGAATAAAACTCGAAAAACTTCATTCGCCCGAGACCGACAGCCGAGGTCGGAGTGCCCCGCACGCTTTGGAACTGAAGAGGTCCCAGCCTCCGCGGACTCGGGAAGAGAAGGGCGGACGAACCCGCAGACGATCTCCGTGGAAAAGTCCCAGGTGTTTTTTTGCACTCTTGTTACTCCAGATGCCGAAGGCGTTACCCATTCGCGCTTCTCGAATGCGAAAGAGACGAAGCATGAGCACAGATCAATTATCGTTTGTGCTTCACGAGTCGAAGCCGAAAGGTTAAGGAACTAGTTGACATTCCATATCTCTCCTGATTTCCCCCAGCCGAAAAAAATCCCACCGAATCATCACGAGGTTCTCGAACAGAGGTTTCTAATGAAACCTCGTGGGGACATCTCACAGCCTCGTGAGAAACCTTGCCATCCTCACGAGGAACTAGGCAGTCCTCGTGAGGAAGTAGTGAGTACTCCTACGTTAATCGGGAGGGTTTTTCTTCAACCAGGCCGACAATTTGGAAATCCTCTGCAAAAAAACTGGACTCGCCTCGGTTCCACGTTCCACCTGCCTTCATCTCCGGCCATCCCTGATTCATTTCTCGGGGCTCAGAGGTCCCTGACGATCGGGACGAAGAGACGAAAGGGGGCATTCTACTCCTCTGCTTTGTATTAGACTTCCATTTTTGGTTTTTGTCGTTTTCGCTAACGAGGTCATCCCATTTTCCTGCTTTCCTTCCTGTTGTTTCGATTTGGGAACTGCAATTGGAAAAAATTTGCGCTTCACAAAAAAGGGAGGAAAATGTCACTTGAAAATTATGGCTTCTCCTGAGAAGCCCGTTCTTGTGACGAACAAATGATCGCCTTCTCCATTCGTCCTTCTGACGTATTAAATTCCCAAGAATGGGAATTCTCCTAGGAGTATTCCTGGCGTGACACATCGCGGTCTCGACTGGGTCTACGAAGCGGGAAAAACGCTCCTTTTGGGGATCAGACCCAGTTCAAAATGCAGCGCTCTACGACAACGCAATAACTGTAATACTGAAATTAAGCCCATTTCGATGTGATATAGAATCCTGGGGAAATGAACTCCTTTGTCTGTGAAGATCAGCCGCCTATAAGAGAAGAATGGATCCATTCCCTCCTCCCCGTACGGAAAAAATTTCAACGTGCTGAAATTGAAACCGTTGAATCACCGGTGATTCAACGGTTTTCAACATCCATTCAACAGGGGTTCAACAGTATTCACCGTTGAATCACCGGTGATTTATGTTGATAATTTATTTATAGAAAAATTCATTTAAGTGTACTGGTTTCAACAACGAAATGAATATGAGGCAATATCAATCAAGGAAAAGTCTTATTTAATATTACCAGATATATACTTGTGCAATCCATAGAATTAGAAAGTCTTCTTTTTGCTCTAACACATCCTTCACCTTTCGCCGAAGGTGAAGGCACATCGCTGTCTGATCTTCTCGTGGACTGTTGACTCAGAAACCTTGAAGGCCTCTGTCAAGTATCCTGTCAAATAAGAAAATGGAAAATAATATTTCTATAAATTATAAGTCCAACTGAAACATGCCACCCATATATATACAGTGTCAGCCTGGAATTGAAAAAGACTAGGCCAAGGAAAGAAATTGGGGAAGATGTGGCAAAAAATAGCAAAGCCTTCTTAGTTGAGTGTTAGTTGAATAGTGATTACAGGAATGGAAAAAATATATATATTCTTATACTTTTGATCATACCTATGATTTAAAAAAAAAAACTAGAGAGAATTGAACCACCAGATCTTTCCAGACATTCAACACATATCATACCTTTCAAGACTTCAAGCTTTTCATCATTGAGTTTCAGGCGTCCTTGTGTCCCAGATACATTGCTCCTTGCCGAAACTTCATTCACAAACAACTTCTCCATGAGAATTTCGCAAACCTTCTTCCAGTCTTGGAACTTCTTAACACAGGTCAGGATGCTTTGAATCTGGAAGTAAAGCAACAGGTTATCAAATATCTTTGCTTTTCAGGCATTGCAAGATGCACAGAATTCTTGTCATTTGTCACAACTAATGCCTGAATTAGGTGAATTACAAATCCTTTCCAAGAAAAGAACTTCATCATCAACACTGGTAGTATTTGGTTCCCCTCTTCTCCTCAATGGACTTTGTTCACTTGTTGCCCTTACTCCAAATGTAGTTTGTTCAGGAGGGAAATTGGAAGCCTCTGCCTCACTGCTGAGAATTGGGGTGTACTCTGAATCCACAGCAGCATATACATTATCAAGGTTGATGAAAACTATGAGTTTGAGCTCCCAGGCCAATATCAAGGAAGCATACTCTTTTTTTAACACGTTGACGACCAGCCTATTTTTGCTTGTCCGCCGCGTGGGACCTCGCGCATTTTTTTTGTCAAAAAATGGGACGCATAGTCCCAGAAAACATTTTTTTGCCGAGTTTTTTTTTAATGTTGAATTTTTTGGAAAATCTGCATCCTGGCATCAGGACGCATTGTCGCCAACGTGTTAAATCAAACAGTACAAATGCAATGTAGTGGTTCTGCTAAGGTGCTTCACACCATGAACCAGAAAAAATCTTAACACAAATGACCAAATTTCATACCAGAGTTCTACCTGTTGAGATCCCCGAGCACAGCAAAAATTTGATTTTGGGACTGGATTACTACATCCAGCTTTCCTTGGACTTCGTTCAAAGTATCTTCAATGTTCTGAACTTTGGCCATAATGTCCATATTGAGCAATGTCAGAAATAAAAATGTAACAATAAACAATATCAGAAGTCATAACCAAACCACCAGGAATAAAAACCAGGAAAACATGACAATTTTAATAGTACCTCTTTTGTTTGCTTTCCCTGCTCTTCATCTTCTTGAATAAGTTTCCCAGCCATTTTTTTCATGGTCTGGTCCCTCTTCTCCTTGGTCCTCTTCTGCTTCTCTCTCTTTATTTCCTTAGACCTTGTGAGAGCAATCTCTCCCAATGTATTTTCTAATTCCTGCCTGTTGGCAAGGGGAGAATAGAATCAGGTACTATATTTAAATAAAAATAGACACACAACCAAGACTGACAAAATACTTACTGCTGAAATTCAAAACCTGACCCCTGTGTACTTCCCAACCATCAGGTGGAGGCCATGCATCCAAATTCGCCCATTCAATATCTCCTTTAGAAAACAGCATTTTTGCATTCTTGAGGTGTTGTCCCCCTACAATGGAAAGCTGTCTCCCATTGGTCCACTCAACTAGTACAAAGAGATTATTCTCCATTCTACCTGTTAAATGCCTGAATTTCAGGTAAGGAGGAGAATATTAGTAATCATGAGTCATGAAATACCATCTGAAACATGAATAGGATGAACTTCGCATTTTGTAGATACTTGCCGTACATTGTGTTCCTCAAATTTTCTTTGGATCAGCTCCCAACCCTGAAGAATTTTCAAATCTTAGGGAATAAAAATAAGTCATGTGTTTAGGGTGCAGAAACATACAAGCCAAGAACACATCTGGCTTTATTATGATCATATCTGCTTTTTAGAATGAGCAAAATTTACAAGCATGAATCAGCATCAATTCAGTTATCAATAAACTTCAGAAGAGACATGTCACAAAGAAACAATTTTCCTGACTCCTTATATGACAGGCACTTCCTCCCAAGTTGAGATGGTAGCAGTGAAATCATTGGACCAGGTTCACATATATGAATATGTGGCACTTGAATTCCATTGAACTGGAACTTCTGTATCTTCAATTTCCTAGCAAGGATGACAACACAAGGTGATATACAATATTTGGATAATGCAATTGCAAAATTCGAAGGATTTCTATGGGGCCATGAGGTCCATGACAGTAGTAGTTCTGTTTCTGATAACTACCTTGGTAGTCCTTGGAAGTAAAAACTACTCCATTCACTAATAATTTTTTTGCCTGAAAAGCTGCCTCAAATCCTGGTGCCACAATTGATTGCGTTTAAACCATTTCTTCATCATTGACATCTATGATACAGGACTTCCCCAATACTACAGAATTTCCTACTCTAGTGGCATGTTTCATTTCACCATAACTATCTTGTACCTTTGAAAGAGCTTTGTGTGTAATTTCACAAGGATTTTCCATCACCTCTGATACCAGCCCAACAATACCATTCAAAATGAGGAATCTCTTAGGAGGACTCACATATTGCCGTCCATGGGTTATATCTTGCATACTTTCAGTTTTTTTTTGTTTCTGTTTCCAAGTATGAAGTCACGGTATTGCTGAAGGACTTTCCTTATAAGTTTGTAGAGAGGGAATGCAAGGAAGAAGGCACGCTTGACCCACAATTGCCTTTGTGTGAATGAAGCTTCACATTTCCTGCACTTCAACATGAACAATACTGCATCCTGTTGAAGAACTTCCTCACAAAGGCTGACAGAAAAATACTCGTTTGAAGCCACATTCATGTTTTGAGAAGTGCTTCCGAAAGAGGTATAGTGTGTCGGGCAGGATGTTACCTACAGGAAGCAGTGCTTGCATGAGTTGCAGCAAACAATCATTGATACACCATTCATTAGAGTGTGTGACATGATGAGTACGATTGCCTGCCCAAGACTTATGCAGTCTCCTTCATATAATGGCCTATGAATTTCATCATCCTATGTGAAAATAAAAAAGTATATCACAAGACTGATACAAGAACACTTTGACACATGATACACGTGCCAGAAATGTCAACCGAGTAACTAACTCACATTTCTCAAGGACTCATCTCCCTGAGCTTCCACTTCAAGGGTTCATGTCCAACTGGTCTGGTGAAGGAGAACTGTGGATTGTACTTCTAGAATTGGCATGACGATTCCCACATTGGGTTTCTTGGGAAACAGTGTCCAAAATCCCTGTTTTCTTTGCCTTTGGAAGGCTGCTTCTTTTGAAAGGAGCATTTCCATCTCCTTCCACGCCCTTCATCCACTATTTATATACACCTCGGAATGCCATTCACCAACTAATACTTTGTGGTTTTGAAGGTGGTTCAAATGAGCACCAAACTATTTCAGTCGAGAAGAGTTCGGCCTAAATTAACATTTAGACCGATCCACACAAATTACATAAAGCAAAATCATTGCAGGTCTTAAGAAAAGTTATCACACTTAAGTCACTACACACCATAATTTCTTGCAATGAAATGGTACGCCTACTGCTTATTCGGGTAAGGACACACTTGACTTACTCGAACGTGGAGCGTGGATGG